ACTAAGGCAGGTCCTATACTAAGTGAGGCAGCCTAGGCAGATGGAAGAGGGGGTTGTTAGATTTGCTGGGGAGCATAGAAGCCTGGCCTAGTTGGGGAACAGCTAGCACGGTACTCCAGAGCTGCCAGGTGCTTATGCAGGATCCACATGTATGACATTTTAAGAAAAATCAGAAATTTGGATTTGTGTGTGTCATATGATTTCTCAATCTTACAACTGATTTAAATTATTTCAAATGATTTAAGCCCAGACAGTTTAGGGGCTAAGTCAAGCAATAGGCCAAGACTTCAAACCTTTGTTGAAAATGAAGGATTATGCAAACTGGGGGCAGAAATTTTATGAAAAGATACTTTTTCCCTTATCCAAAACTTCCACTTTGGAGGACTAGCAAGTAGAAGAGGTAAGTAGCCATGGTGACTAGGTCACCAGAATGTTTCTTTTTTCTTTTTTTTTTTTTTTTGAGATAGGATCTCATGTAGCCCAGGCTGGCCTCAAATTAGCTATCTAGGCTAGTCCTGACCTCCTGATTCCCTTGCCTCCATCTGCTGAGTGCTGGTATTACAGGCATGCACCATGCCTGGCTCACCAGCATGTTTCTCATCTGATAGTATTGTCCCCAAATGAGAAAATTAACTGAAGTCTGTACCTCTATCTGCATCTTCAAATGCATTTTAAAGTTTGAAAGAAGAGTAAGAAAAATAGCAAGAGAGAGCTCGAAGACATCAGGCACTGAAGAGACGCCGTTTTTGGACAAGGCCACACAGAGATATTGCTTGATTGCGTTGATGAACATCTCGTGAGTCCTGAAGACTGGACCAGCATTTTGCAGTACAGAGAGAAGCAGCTGCAGAGAAACCACCTTGGAACGCAGCTCATGGGACCTGGCAAAGAAGACAGAACAGCAATGGCGCTAGAAGACGAAATATTACGGTTGGTTTCTTTTTCTGTTTTTGAGACAGGGTCTTCTTATGTAGTTCTGACTTGCCTGGAACTCACTATGCAAACCACACTGGCCTCAAACTCTTGAGTGGTCCTAGTGCCTCTGACCCCCAAGTGCTGGGATTATAGGCCCAGAGACAAGGTCTTGTTAAGCAGTTCAGGCTGACCTGAAACTCATGATCTTGCCTTTGTCTGCCAAATGATGGGATCACAGAGCATAGATTAAAACTGTATTAAGTTTTTCTTTTAAAAAAAAAATATTTTATTTATTATTTTTATTTTCTGTGTATGCATGTATTGTC